GAACACAGAGGCGCTCTGAGCCGGAGGACCACAGAGGGTGCCCCAGCCCCCAGGAGAGGCCAGGACCCGCCTGCAGTTCTAAGCCAGCCAAGCCTTTAAGAAGAGAAACATCTGCAGGTGACATGGGCTCAAGAATGTGTTTCCCACTTACCTGCTGAGGAACCATTAAAGAGAAGGATCACCTCCACTAACTGAGGGAGAAACAGGACTGGAAAAATGCTCAAGACCCAGAAAACACAGTCATGGGGACAGAGAAGAGGTGTTCCCTGCACAGGAGGATGAGGTCTAAAAGGAGGCAGTGGTGCAGCTGGCCAGGAGGAGCCCGGGTGCCGAGGGCCGGGGAGGCTAAGGATGGCACAGCCCAGGTGCCGAGGGCCGGGGAGGCTAAGGATGGCACAGCCCGGGCGCCGAGGGCCAGGAGGCTAAGGATGGCACAGCAAGAGCCAAGCAGTGAGCCCAGAAGTGATGACCAACTCTGGGGAACAGTTGCAAGAAAAATCATAATCAGAGTCGTAACAATAAAAACCCATGAACTATGTATGGTTCAAGAAAAATATCAATCAGATTTCATTAAAATTAAACATTTCTGTTCTTTTAAAAATAGTTATAAAAATGGAAGGCAAACAAGGTTGGGAGAAGATATTTGCAAAATATAAATGTGACAAGCAGTTCTAGCTCAATATATAGAGAACTTTCACAACCCAATAGTAAGACAAAAACCCAACATAAAAAAAAAAGAGGGGAAAGATTTGAACAGACGCTTCACCAAAGAAGGTAAACAAATGATGAATGAGCACAAGAAAAGATGCTCAAATTGTTAGTTCATTAGAGAACTGAAAATCTGGAAATACCCCAGACAGGAAACCCAAAAGCCCATCAACAGGAGAATATATAGGCAACCGGGCCACGTGCACAGCAGACACCCTGGCCGAAGTGCACAGGAATGTGGGTGACTTCCAAAATACTCGTGCAGGTTAAAGCAGCCGGATCTGGCGGAATGCACACCCCGTAGCTTCCCACTCGTGAGTCCGGCCAACACACACCAGGCCCCCTGCAGGAAGCACGTCAGCGCTTGCCTGGTACGGGGGCCCCGGAAGGAGAGGGGCAGCAGAGAGTTCCTGGGGGCCCCCGAATACTTCAGGGGTGATGGAGCTGTTCGTGATCTTCACAGGTGTCCACATATCCAAACTCATCACATCTGCTTCACTCCAGGTACACCTCGAGGAAGCCGCACATGCCGCGGCCGTGAGCACATGGGTCTCGGCAGCACAAAGCGCTCAGCCTGCCACCACAGAAATGCTGCGTGGATTTAAGCAAGAGTTGTGATCATACTGGGTCAGGAAGGGGACGGTATGAAAATGCTAAATCCAATTCTCTAAGAATGCATTAGACAGTGTCTGAAATAGAAAAGAAGAAACAGCAGAAACCTGCCTTTTTAGATGCATGGATGCAACAGCCAGGAAGCGACTAGCACCGCAGGAGGCCCTGTCTCTGAGAAGTGGGCCTCTGGGGCAAAGGGACTGACTTTTTCTTTTTTTTAAAGGTATGATTGATATACACTCTTATGAAGGTTTCACATGAAAAGCAATGCAGTTACTACATTCACCCATATTATCAAGTCCCCACCTATACCCCACTGCGGTCCCTGTCCATCAGTGCAGCACGTTGCCGGAGATCCACCATGTCCCTTCTCTGTGATACACTGTTCACCCGGTGATCCCCCACACCATGTATCCTGAACATAATACCCCTCAGGGACTAACTTGTTTTTAAACCAAGTGTTCTAAACCAGGTGCTGCTCTGATAGAAATTCAGCTTCCAACCACGAGACCCAGCAATTCCATGCCTGGCCATAGGTGAAAAAAGTACCCACACAAGTACTTGTACGTGATCGCTCACAGCAGCACTATTTAAATTACTCAAAGGGTGGAAACAATCCAAATGTTTGGCGCTGGGAATGGGTGAAGAGGTCGTGTTGTATGCACGCCGTGGAATATTACTCAGCCATAAAAAGGAGGAGACTGACACCTGCTGCAAGGATGAACCTCAGAAACCTTGTTGACTGAAAGAAGCCGGACACAAAAGGCCCCCATGGGTCATTGCACGAGTCTGTGCACAGGAAATGTCACAGCAGCAGCGGCCTCTGGGTCCTGTGGGCGCAGGGCAGATGGGTGGCTTCCAGGGGCTGTGGGCAGGGGAGGAGAGGTCACTAACAGGTGTGGGGTTTCTCGGGACAAGCTCTGGGACAGACACACCAGTGGACAGACAAGAAACTGGTGTATGGTATGCCTCCAGGGGGCGTGGCCTGTGGTGTGTGAATTACGTCTCGATAAAGCTGTGACTTGAAGAAAAATTCAATGCCAGAAGCAGGGGGTGTGGCCTCAAAGAAAATGTATGTTGGTCCGGGTCCCTGGCTCCTGACTCAGAGCTCCTAAATCCCTTGGGATGTCTTTTGTTCAAATGAAGTGACTCTTTGGTGGGTTCCCAGAGGGCTTCAGGTGGGGGCTGGGGAGACCGGAAGGACCAGCTGTGACTGCAGTAGGGGCCTTGCCCCTGTGGCCCCCATGGCCCCCGTGCCGCAGGCTGAAACACCTCCATGATGAGGCCCCTGTGACAAAGCCTCCAGGTCAGCCCTAAACCACGGGGTGCACATGTGCCGGGAGGGTGGGCACCCCGACTCTGCAGGGGCAGGGCTCCTGTACTGGGGACCCCCCAGACCTCGCCCTGTGTGCCTGTCCACCTGGGTCTTCACCTGTGTCGTTCATTATATTATCTATAATAAGCCACTAGGAGCGGGTGAGCGGGTGTTCCCGAGTTCTGTGAGCCATTCCAGCAAATTATACAACCTGAGGAAGGGGTCACGGGAACCCGAATTTGTAGACAAATCAGACAGAAATGTGGGTAACTGGGGGCCCACTGCTTGCGACTGGCCTCTGCAGCAGGGGCAGTCTGGGGAGGAATCCTCAGCCCGTGAGGTCTGCCCTAAGCCCAGGGAGAGGCTGTTACAACCGAACTGGACTGTGGCGGCCAGCTGGGGCACTCAGGGCACAGGAGGACTGGCTGGACAGGAGCATCTGGTGTCAGAAGAGTCTGGGCGGAGGAAATAGTGCCCTCCTTCCACCGGGATCTCGCCAGGCCCCTCTGAAAACACGCGGCAGGAGGCCCTACTGGGTGATGGGCCCCACGCTCCCAAGGAGCCCCTGGAGAGATTTCAAAGCTCTACAAACAAACTGGAAGCTCCCTGATTCCAGCCAGAGCTCCTGGAGCGCAAGGGGTACCTCGGCAGCCCTCCCGGCTCAGCTCGCACCCCTTCCTGCACCCCCTGGGCCTGTTCACAGCAGCCACCCCAAACATTCCGCCAGCAGGAAGTTGTGGAATCTCACCGGTTTTGGACACACCTACTGACACTCTGGGACACAGGAGCCCTGCTGTCCTGTGGGAAGGGCCCTGCCCGCTGCGTGTGTGTGTGAGGGCAGAGAGGGGGCATGCCTGGCCCTCTAGAGCAGGCGTCCCCTCAGCCACCACGTGATTAACCTCGATGAGAAAATGCCCCCTCACAGACACACACGCAGGGTCACACACGACACTGGCCTCCCTGAGGGGGCAGGGGACCCAGACCATGGCTGTAGGATCTGCAGTCGGGGGCCCAGTAGTACCAGAAGGGGCCCCCACGTGGCCTCTGAGCCCACAGCCAGTTAGTCAGGAAGGAGTCCAGGCCTCCATCTGCCCAGACGTCCTGCACGTCACCAACCTGGGGGCCTGGCAGCCTGACCACCACGGTTCGCGTCCTCGGGCCCTCTGCATGCCCGTGGGGCTGCCAAGGGCAGTCAGCACACGTCCACAGGAGGCCAGATGGTTGCCCTCAAGACACTGGGCTGGAGAGCAGATCGGCCTTCCAGACGCGGGAGGAAGGCCCACCATGCCAGCCGCAGAGCCCAGAGCCCAGTGGTGTGAGAGCCCGGTGCTGGCCCCTCGTGCTGCCCGGCCATGTCCGCCTATAGCCTCCTGCCCCTCCCTCTCCCCCCAGTCGGGGCAGGTCCCAGAACCGTGTGTGTCAACAGCAGCTGTGTTCTCACACTGGCCTCCAGGAAACCAGGACGCGGCTCTTGCTCTGCCAAGGTGGCAGTCCCAGGGCTCACAGCACACACCTGGCAGGCTTCTGTGGGGCACGGTGCTGACCTGGGGCCCGCTAGGCCCCTAACAGGCTCAGGCCTCCACGTCCTCAGACAGCGGAGTGGCAGAGGCCACTGCAGAGTCCACAGTGGCCAGGCCAGCTTGTGGTGCAGGGCAGTGGGGAAAGCGGGAAGGGGCTGACAGGGCTGCTGCCGGAAGCTCCCGCCCGAGGGAGGCAAGGCTGCCCGGGGGGGGGCCAGAATCCCGGGTGCCTGCCAGTGTACCCCAGGACCCGGGTCACTCAAGGGAAGGCGCTGCGCCTCATGCGTCACGCTGCTCGCCCCGGCCATAAAAGGAACAAGAGCTCATCATAGACAATTTACAAAACAGAAAAAACAAAGTAACGGCCGTCCCAGGGATTCAGCAGCTGCGCCCGGGTCTCGCCTCTGCCGGGAGATGCGTATGGCCACACAGAGCTTTACAAAGCTGAGTCACGCTATGGGCCACACTCCTTTTCATTCATTTTTATACCAGGAAGGTTTCCCCATGTCGTTAAATGCCATCATCTGAGACCAAGTTTTTACACAGCTCCCCTACACCAGCCACTGAAGTTTACAAACACCTGTATGCATGGACCGGCCTCGAGACACGCTCCTCAGGACGGATGGCCCTACCAGCACCCGAGGGTGCCCGGGGCACCTGCCTTCAGCGCAGTGTGATGCCACTACCCTTGCTAGCTCTGACGGCTACTGCCACTCAGGGAAAGCTTTTCTCATTTGACGGGGAAAACCTGTCCCCCATCAAATTAGGACCAGACACAAGACAGACCCAGACCCACCCATCTGATGTCAGCGGCCCCGGGGTCTCTGCCAAGTCAGGGCTCTTACCCAGCTCCTTGGAGCCCTGGCTCTCGCTGGCCAGCTCACCCATCTTCACTAGGGCATCGAAGTAGCCTTTGGCAGCATAGGTCACACCTGAGAGGAGAAAAAGGTGTTAAAGCCCCCCCGGGACTCACGAGCCCAGGCACCTGGGCAGCAGTTGGCTGGGCCCGTGTGCACTTGGGTCCTGGGCTGCACCCAACTGGGGTTCCGCTCACATTCCCCTTCCATCCCATCCCCAGGCTCCTCCTCTGAGAACACAGCGTACATTCAGGTCCAGAGCTCCTCAGCCGAACTGCAGGGGCCCTTGGGCCCTGTGGTCTCTGGCGAGGGGTGGGACCGAGTACACTTCCCAACACAGAGGCCACTCCCTCAGGAACCCCCAAACTGGGCGGTCCCAGGTCTCCATGTGGGGGCCACCGCCCACCAGGCAGCCTAAGGTCAGGGCTTCACACTGCTTCCCATGGTGTCTTCGGCTCTGGTCAGTAGTGGGCCTGACCCCAAGGGACCCACGGGGGTCACTGCTGCTGAACTCCCGGGCCCAGCGCCCCAATGCCTGTGGCCTGTGAACCTCTGGGACCCTGGGTGTGTCTAGCAAACTCCTTCATCTGAGAAGAAGCCCGCCTGCCCTTCTGCCTGGAGGGAGGCACGATGCCTCACTGGCAGGGCTGCAGGGAGCAGCCACCAGTGGCATAATTACAATTTCTAATCTGTTTTCTACAGAACCCAGTTAGGCACCTATAACTGGGCACTTCATCACATTTTATTTAGGTGGTTTTCAATTAAACACACCCAATTTGTTCTGCAGCCCAAGAGTGTGTGCGGCTCCATGGGGTTGAGGGCTGCGCTCAAGACAAATGAAGGGTCGCACACTGGGCACGAGTGCACATGGAGTGGCTGAGGGCAGCTGGAGGATGGTGTGCACAGCCGGGGAGCTCTGTCCTATGGCGCAGCCAGGAAAGTGGGCAGAGGAAGGAGACTCATGGGGAACCGGGTGGGGTGGGCCGGAGGAAACCGAGGGGCATCAAAGGGCCAGAGCGCCCACCCAGAGGAGGACGCGGGAGGGGCCTTGGCCCCGACTCGGGGAGCAAAGTTGCATCACAGCGAGCGAAAGCCATGTCAGAAGTGCCCCCCAGACTCTCTCGGCTCAGGGAAGGACGGCTCCTTCTAACAATTCTGGCAGCACAGAATCTGTGTCTGAAGCCAGGGGCCCAGGGCAGCGTCTCTGTGCTCAGGGCAGAGGACAGTGACAGTGGAAGAGGGCGGCCTGGGAGACCCTAGCAGGGTGCCGGCTGCAGAACTCCTGTGTGCGCCCTGCAAGCAGAGGGCAGCATGGGGAGCCTGCCCTCCAGGCCGACACAGAAACAGACACAGCCAGGGTGGGTCAACGCCATCGACCCCTGCAGCAGGGATGGGGGTACAGTCCGTGGGGGCACTGCTTCCACCCCAGCCCACAGCAGTGGCTCTAGAAGGATGGACCAGGGTCATGGTGGAGGGTCAGGGAGCAGGGTCCTCCTGGTATGACCCCTGCTTGAGCGCAGGCCCTCCTTCCCCTGGACGTGGCAGCAGGCAGGCCTGTGACCAGACACCCCACCCGGAGTCCAGCGAGGCTGCCGCTGCCAGATGCTGCATAGCGGTGCCTGATGACCATGGGGGCAGAAGAGCACAAGCCGCTCACCAGGCCCTGTCCCTGTCGCCTCTAAGCTAGCGCCCCACAGCACAGCCCCCTGAGGGCAGCTGGCAGAGGTCGGGCATGTCCTGGACACGCCGTTGCTTACCTGTGGGGGTGGGGGCTTGTCTCACAAAGACGCCACAGTCAGTGTGACAGCCTGACACCTTGGTCTGCAGGAACGTGGCCAAGGGTGCAGGAGACCAGCGGTCAGTCCCCAAGAACAGGGAATGCGGACTCCGTGGGCCCTGCTGGGCGGGAGGGGCCAGACGTGCCCACAGCCCCTGCTGCAGTGGCCTGGCACCTGAGCGGGACAGGTGGGGGTCTTGGAGAGACTGGGTGGAAGGGGGCGGCCCTCCATCCGGGGTCTTTGTGAGCTGCTGACCCCAAACTCAAGGCCACCATGGATACCAGCTGCTTTATGTGAGCCCCAGTCCTGTAGCTTAAAGACCAGCGTAGCAGAGAGACACCCACAGCCGCCCGTCGTCAGAACCCAGACCCTGTGCTTTGTCGCTGCCGCAGAACAAGGCCGAGAGCACGGCTGAGCCGTGACAGCGGGGCCAGGTCACGGGGCTTGGCTGTCCATGTGCTGACAGGCCGCTCCCCGGCCCGCGGCTCACCTGCCAGGGCCTTCTCGTAGTTCTTCCCCATAGCAATGAAGTTCCGGAGGCTGGGATTGAACTGCTCCATGATGGTCTGGAAGGAAGCAGAGCAAGAGCATTAGCAGCACAGAGACGGGGCCCGGGAGCACCCCGCCAGGGAGGAGTGCCTAGCAGGCACCCCCTTCCAGGGCCCCAGCACAAGGCCCCTGTGAGGCGCCCGCAGTCTGGACCGCAGCCCTGCGGGCCGACCGCACTTGGCCACGCCTTCCATGCGGAGCATGAGGACAGACCCAGCACCCGCGTGCTGGGCTTTGAGGATTAACGGGAGAGACGCGCAGGGCACTCCGTACAACCGGCGCTCAGACGCGGCACTGCTGAGGGGCCATTCCCACGTCTGGCAGGGCTGAGTCAGCCAAGGGAGGCCCCCGCGGCCACACAGAGGCACCCCCTCCCCCGAGCTCCACGCAAAACAGCAATTACCACACAGCAGCGCTGATTAGAGGGGCCCACAGCTAGCCTGCCAACACTGTGCTATGAGTAATCCCACGGGCTCCCGGGCTGTTTGCCCCATGGACTGATGTCTGGGTGCCAATACCAGCAGTTCTGAGAATGCAGAAATTAGATTTTCACTGCAAAAGCCAAATAAATGTTTTAATTACAAGGCGTAGAAACAGGCACACACAAACAGCAGCCAAATGTAGGCTCTTGGGTGGGTGACGCCCTGCCCGTCAGCCCACGGGGGGTGTTCAGCTGGGTGGGCCACTGCCCATGGCTCCAGGCCTGTTACCATGACAGGTGGCCGAGCTTTCCTAGGGATGAAACGGAAACTGCCCAGTGCTGCCCGGACCCCACAGGCCCACCCTCCCTGCCCCGACCCCAGGTAACACTGCCAGCCCTTGGCGGGGGCATCAAGTACAATGTGACAGCATGCCGCGAAGGATCGCGGAGGTAAGTGGGCGAGGAGGCAGGCTCAGTGGCGGGCACCTGGCAGTTGGTGGCAGGTCTGAGCAGATCCATTCGGTCTGGCTCCATTTTTGAAATGGCTGCCCTGGGGAAGCCCTTCAAAGTGAAGGTATGAGTGCAGACAGGCCTGGGGGCTCGCAGCAGAAGGAGGGGTAAATGCACGGCCCAGCTGACCTCCACCCAGACCTCAGGGCAGAGAAATGCTACAGGGCTCCTGTGTGCTGTTCAAACCACAAACAAGCAGGGCCAAACCTGGCAAGAGCAGCTGGGACCCCAAACCCGAAGCTGTGTGTGCACGTGTACACGTGAGCGTACACCAGCACACGCATGCATGCAGCTTCAGTATGAGGCGTGTTTCTCACCATAAGACAGACACATATCTGTGGCACACCCTAGGGGGTGGTCATGAAGAGCCGACCCCACGCCGAGCTCCAGGACAGCCTGACCCACCCGGGGCTCCATTCAGAAGAGCAGGTTCCACCCAAGCTCATCCTTTGAGTCCCAACAGCATCCTGAGTGACAGCAGGAAACAGGCTAGAAGCCACCCAGGCCAACCAACAGGGTCGCCATGGTGGCCCACCCACGCCTCCTGGTGACACACGGGGATAGCTGCCAGGTTTCACTTCCTTAGTGCAGCATCTGAGCTCACAGACAAGGAATGCTGGGGTGAGCAGGCAGGGTGGGAGGGCCGCCGGGGTGCCAGCCAGGCCACCTGGCCAGGGTATGCCTCTGCTCTGCTGAGAAGGGGCGGGGGACCAGGTCTGGTCACACGGGAGCTGCTGTGCACCTGGAGGCAGCAGAAACGTAGTGCCATGGGGCTGGCATCGGAGGGGGCCCCTGCTTCCTTCTCTGCAGCCAAGTGCACAGAAACCCACCCCTGGACTAAGGGCGGGCCTCCTGGGGAAGCCTGCGGTGGGCACTTGCAGTCAATGTCACCCACCAGCCAGTTCAGGCGAGGACTCTGCCAGGAGGGATCCCAGTGGCTGGAGCAAGGGAGAGAGTCCTTGCTGGAAGGTCCCCCAGAGCCTAAGCCCACTGTAGTTCTGGGGCTCACACAGAGGCATTTGGACCTGGTGGGCCATGCCATCTCCAGGCCCAAAACAGGTCCAGACCCACCTTCAGAGGACTTAGGTGGGTTCCTGACAGCACACCCCTGGCCCAGCCACCACGGGTGAGCTTTCTCCACACCTGCCCCCACGGCCAGCTCCTCTAACCAGGCCTGCGCAGCCTCTCCGCAAGCCACAGAGGCGTCTGGAAGCCTAGGCCAGGAGTGCCAGGAGCCTCAACCCCAGAACCACGCGGAGGGCGACTCCATGGGCTCCAGAATGGCTGCGTCTTCTCACGGGTCGCTTAGCCCCCAAGGAGCTGAGGTCCAAACACCCCACATCGTACATCCTGCGGCAGCCTGGGCCCACATACTCAGAAAGGCGGGGGGAGGGCCTTTCCAAAGGGTGTTCAGAGGCAGGCGCCAGGCCAGGAGGGGCACTTCCCTGTCCTGGCGCCTTGGCTGGCCCCTGCTGGTGGTCCGGGAGCTGCAGGCATCCCAGGCAGGAGGTGCTGGCCTCTCGTCTGTCCTGAAACTCGGCCATGGGGGACACACACAGAGGTCCCAGGACCCCTCACCACAGCCAGACCTCCTACAGACGGAGCTGTGACCAGCATTTCCTTCAAAATCCGGTACCTGTCCTATGCGACCGAAGCCCCAGAAAGCGCTCGCACCCTGCGGCACCCCACCGTGTGTTCACTCATCTGGCAGCTTTTGGGGGCCCAGAACAGTATCAGCACCGGCCCGTTCTTGCTCCTAGGCACTGGCTCACATTCAGTGTTCACCAGGGAACACCTGCCGGGTTCCAGGCGGGTGCTGGGGTGCTGTGGGGGCTCCCGGACATCCCCACAGAATACACACCTGGGAGGGTGGGTGAGGAGGGCCCTGCCAGACACGCACAAGCTCAGGCGGGTGCAGTCACCCTCCTGCCCGGATGTCACAGCCAGTGAGCCCACCAGCCCCGGAGTCGCAGGAACCCTGGCCTTCACTGCACCTTTAGGGCAGGGGTGCCCGGCCACCCCCTCTGTCCCATGACCCAACCGTGCATTCCTACAGGCGCACCTGGGAGGGGCGGGACCCTGACAGCGGGAGACCCTGAGGCCTTCCTACCGGGTGGCCTGGATGGCTGCTTTTATTTGCTCTGGTCACGGGTCTGCCCAGCCAGCGAGGGCAAAGGGCAGTGCGACAGCCCCAGCTCCAACCTGGGGGAGCGAGGGGAGCGGCTGCCAAAGGACACTGCTCGGGCCCCTCTCGCACGCGGCCGCACCAGCCCAGGCACGCTGCTGCTCCCGGGCGACGGCCCCTCTCCGGCACCTTCCGGCAGAGCTGCCTCCAACCCAGAGCACAGTCTCTGCTTCCCTCCACCCTGTCCTACAGCAAGGCCAGGGCGGACGCGCCAGTCTGCACCCTGAGCACACGGGGTACGTGGGGCCCCGCCAAGCTGTAGCTTCTCTCTCTGTACCCACAACACCTGGAAGAACAAACTTAGAGGTCAAGACAGCACTGGGACCACCAGGCCAAGTGGGGGGAGGTTAGCCTTTAGCCCCTCACCCTGTGTCCTTACCTGGCTGATCCATCTGACAGACAGACAGACAGACAGACAGAGGGGAAGAGCCCGCGACAGGGCGTGACGGAGCAGTGTTCCAACTGCAGGCGGCCACAGAGCTGAGCTGCCCGCCGTGGGCCCCTGCTGCCCGACGGGCCACCTGCCCTGGGCTCCCTCAGAAGCCCCATTCCAGCAACATGAGGCTCAGGCTGGGGGCTGAGCTGACTCTCGCCTACTCCAGGGTACCTCATCCTTGAGGGAAGGGGGCCCGGTGCCCACCCCATCCACACACCCAGGACACATGGTCTACAGCCTCCGAGGGGCCAGTGCCTGGCTGCCCCGACCACCTGCCCTTGTCTCATCCCTGTCATGATTCGGCAGGACAAGCGCGTGCTGGCTTTGGGGCCGAAGCCCGGCCCACTGCCCGGGAGCTGCCAGGGAGAGGGTAGTAGCTGCTATCCAAGAGTAGCTGCCAGATGTGGCCCCCTGAAGGAGCCCCGACTGGCTGGGGCCCTGGGTAGAGGGCCTGGCTCACAGCACAAGCTGGGGGTGGAAGGACTTGGGAAGCTGGGCAGCTCTGCACGGCTCCCACCTGCCATCTTGTCTCCCTCTAAAGGCTGGACATCTGTCCCAGGGACCCGTCCTGAAGGAACAGAACCAACTCCAGAAGTTCAGTGGGTGCTGAGAGGGCTTCCAGGATGAAGAGGCCGATCTTGAACTGGATCTCCCTTGGTTGGAGCCAGAGAGAAGGCAGGAATGCATTCACACTGATTTAGGGAATGAGTAGATGCAGTGGAAGCTTCCAGAACAAAATGGCCTTGGGGTGAGGACGGGAGAGCAGAGGCCAGCAGGGGACCACAGGAAACACCCCCAAGGACAGGCATGAGCCGAGTGTTGCTCAACGGGCTAGTTATGCTTTAACGGCACAAGGCCACCTTCCCAGACCTTCTTTAAGATGCCCCCACCCCCGACCCCCTGGGAAACCAAGAGCCCCCACAGGCCACAGCTCACCCCAGGCCTGCCCAAGGGCACGGGGCACCCACACCCCAGCCCCAGCCTCCCAACGACGGCGCGGGAGAAAACACCTTGCGGCTGACGGGGTGTGAGGTGAGGCGCCGGCCCTTCCAGAACAGAGGGCTGGAGTCCCCACCGCAGGGAGCAGGGCAGGCGGGGGCAGCGCCTGGCTCTCTGGGAGGTGGAGGAGAGGCCTGGAGGTGGCTGCAGGAGGGCCTCCACACTATGCGGGGGCTCCACCATGCCTCAGAGCTCGGCCAGGGCCAACCAGGGGGCAAGAGAGGCCAAGAAATCGCCCTGCAGTGGGGCAGTGGTCTCAGCCCTGCCAGCTTCCCAAGAAGCCACCAATTTACAATAAAGTGACAACTTGTGTCTTTGGCTGGGCGCCCAGGGACACACCAGGAACACAGTGGCTTCCATTATGAGGGGCCACAGGGTGAGCACCCCTTCCCATCACCCCTGCAGGCCCTGCACCATGGGGTCCTGGGTCCCTGGGAGGTGGGATGGCCTGAACAACACGGGGATG